TCTCTCTCTCTCTCTCTCTCTCTCTCTCTCTCTCTCTCTCTCTCTCTTTGGCTCGAGAAAGAAAAATAAATTTGTCACACGAATATTGTGCTGCCTTTACGCGCACCCGGTAAATTTGGGGTTCCAAATCATGGTGCCTTCAAGGACTCATAAAAGCACCAATGCATCATTTTACGATCAAAGACCTAACTTATGGCTTTATTATTGGTTGATGAATTATTTATTTATTAATGGGGAACAAGTTTTGGGTTGCCAGGTTGAGGTTGGTGTTGTTTATCCTCCTCCTTTAAAAATATCAGCAAGCAAAAGAGCTACAAAAGCCCTTCTTTACAAAAGAGAAGAATAAAACAATAAACCAAAAGGAACCGGACGTCCTAGCATTAGCTATTATGCTAACGTGGTGCTAATCATCAGCTAACTTTCACTACAGCTTTGACCTGCATTGACCTCAACTCTGCACCGCCCACATTAAAGTAAAAGGCTTTAGGCGTTAGGCCTCTGGGGATGATAATGTCTTAGGTCCACTGCTCTGGTGCACACTTATATCAACCCAGGCTGGTCACCTGCATTCAACCAAAGCCTGCTCAAAACGTAATCGGTTAATACTACTTGGACTACAAATATTTATTTAATAATTGATACCAAAAGCATGTCCCTTTGCCTACAGATATGCAGATATCTGTTTATAAGGATTAGTCCAGACTGAAATGTCCATTACCCTGACCTCATGGACGTTCATTCCACTACATTCATTACTTTGGCGCCATCTGGTGACAATAGTTCCAGTTTTTCCCACAAACAAAAAGGTATGGCATCAGAATAATTGATAATGAATTGAAATAATAATGAACAGATCTGCACACATAGGCCTAATTCATTTTGAAAGGAGTTTTAACATACCATATGAACTTTTGCTAGGTAGGCATCCTGTATATTTCAATGATATTACATCCAAACAGGGATTATGAAATATACCATTCATAGCTTACCTATGGCCTACACAATATAGCTTGTTTGGGCAAATCAAAACGGCTAGCAAAATACATCACTAAACATCAGATGGGCTTTATAATGTTGTCCTGAAGAGCAACAGTTTGTCATGTTTTTTTTCTGATACAGAGATATTGTTCAGGACACATACAAGAGAGAAAAGTGTAAGGTTGCACTGCTAGTTGTTCTGGATTTATGAATATGACATTTGACTAACAGACAAATACATTTTCGGTAGTCATCAACTGTTCTGTGATTAGTAGCCTATAAACTGCACCATAGATTCAGAAACATAAACTGGTTCAAGCTACTAAAAAGTAACATCTATCCAAGCAATTATAAACAAGTGGAATATTCACATTGAATTATTTTTCATGAAGGTTTTGTTCCGTTTCCAAAGGAAAGAATGAACGTTTCTTCTCAAATTTTAAGTTAACATGGACAAAAAGTCCTCAAAGTCCTTTGAAAAAATGGAGACTTGGAAAACAATGCACCATTAACGATTCAAGTGTCCCAGTAAGCCGTGACACAGTGACAGTGTGAACAATACCAGGCTCCTCCAGTACTAAACAACCAAAGCTCATGACCAAAACATAAGAAATATCTATAAAATCAGACAATAGATACAAACATCATAAAACTATATTTTAATTATACAATAAAAAAACAGATGAAAGAGAAGTAATACAGTGTGGAGTTTTTAAAGAAATCAAGCTGATTTACTTGTAATTCATTTTGGGTTATAATTAAATGCTACCAGCACGGATAAAACAAATCTGAATGGGAGAATTATGTTTAGAGATACATATTCTGAACCATATACCTTAAATCCACTTTGGATTTGATAGATAGTTTTTTCAGAATCATGTTTATACCTACATCTGTTCTACTTTTTTGCTGCCATTTTTTATTCTTTATATATATATTTTCTTGTTTACTGTAAATCTGTGTATGTACATTGAGAGCGGAGTCGAAACCGGAGACAAATTCCATGTATGCGTAAGCTGATTCTGATAGTTTTTTCATGTTGACCCCTTTGTAGTCCGGAATGTAAAACTAATTTGCTTTTTCCGTTTTAGGATATTTTAGGAGAGTGTTAAGGGTAACGTTAGTGTGCAAATCAGACAAAGGCTGTTTGATTTGGGGGGGCTCATGAAACTAACCTAACAAAGGAAATGACCAAAAAGGGACATATTTAACGACACAAGATGGCAGTAATGCTACAGTAACAATGCCAGCTGCAATAAAACCCCTCGAAGAAGAAGGAAAAAAAAATGCAACATATGATGACGTCGTTATAGAGCGCCGCAGAAGCTAGCCCTCCAGCTAGTAACATTAGCTCACGTTTGGAAAGGAGATTATTGACACCTTCACACCTCATACTGGTGGATGTTTTATATCGTTAGATGGTCCACCGACCGCCCCGGTGCCGAGGAGTCGTTTGCTTGAGTCTCAACCGGCAGTCGCCATGGCGGAAGAGGAGGAATTCTCGCCAAACTTTCTGACAGATGGAATGAAACGCAGCAATGGCGACTTCGTGCCACCGGACGGGCTGTGCTGGTTGTCGGTGCTGTCCTGTCTGCTGCTGGCGTGTTCTTATGTGGGCAGTTTGTACGTGTGGAAGAGCGACCTGCCGAGGTGAGCCACACAGCGGTGTGACGGATACCCTCTCTGCGGTTGTAGTGCTCTCTGCTACGTGGTTCATTTACACCATGTTCATTCTGACACATTTACCATATGGCTCAATGAGCGTTAACATTAAAGTCACAAATCTTTACATGTGTTCAGGAATAGTACGTTTCTCTCTGAGCTTGTGGCCCTCACACTGTGTTTGACAGTAGCGCAGCCATGTGGCCTGTTATGAAACACTGAAGAAAGTATCTGATGATTCCTCAGTTTGGCACAACCATGGCTGTACGAACCGGTTTAGGGGCCCCAAAGGAAAGTCAGCTGTGAGGCCCCCTTTATCCAGACAGTTTATGCCTAAATAATACTACATGGCCCAGGTACTTTGAGTAAGCACAACTTTATATGCACTACATGAGCTCAGTATACATTAAAATAAGCAGTTCTTCAGGGTGTCTCATGGTAATCTGGTTAGCAGAGAGTGTAATCGCTCTCCTCTCTCACACATCAGCACCCGATGTCAAAATGTATTGAAAAAAGATGTAAACGTGTTTTTATCTATCAAAATGTTCTGCTTCAGTACATATTCGTTGGCATTTAGCATTTAAAAAAATATTTTCGCTGTCTATATTCTGTTGAACCAAACCATAAATTACGTTTATACAAACATGATAACAAAAAATCCCCCACCCTCAGCTACACCCACACA